ACCCTAAATCACCCATTAGCATTAGCATTAGCATCTGTAGCCCACAGGTCTGTGTCCTAACCATTAAGTTGTTATCAGAGTAAATCCCTGTTCAACATGAGTCTGACAACTAAGTAAGTAGATAAATAACTTTAGACTTTAACACATGCTCTGATAGGCCAGAATCAGATCGGATCGGAAGGGGAAAAACCTGGATGGGGACGTCCCTAGTTTGAAGGCACCCCAACAAAAAAGGCTCCATTTGTGCCGGTTTTGGAGGTTTTCCACCAGAGATGTGACCCTCTTTGTTCAATAGTGCATAAATAGCTGTCACAGCTTAAATTTGGGATGGGATTTGATTTTTTCTTTGGCTTTAAAAGGTTTTTGTTGATTTTTTTTTTGAAGAGGTAAAAAACCTTAAATCACCCATGAGCATTAGCATTAGCATCTGTAACCCACAGGTCTGTGTCCTAACCATTAAGTTGTTATCAGAGTAAATCCTTGTTCAACATGAGTCTGAAAACTGAGTAAGTAGATAAATAACTTTAGACTTTAACACAAGCTCTGATAGGCCGGGATCGGATCGGATCGGAAGGGGAAAAACCTGGATGTGGACGTCCCTAGTTTGAAGGCACCCCAACAAAAAAGGCTCCATTTGTGCCGGTTTTGGAGGTTTTCCACCAGAGATGTGACCCTCTTTGTTCAATAGTGCATAAGTAGCTATCACAGCTTAAATTTGGGATGGGATTTGATTTTTTCTTTGGCTTTAAAAGGGTTTTGTAGATTTTTTTTAAAGAGGTAAAAAACCCTAAATTATCTATAAGCATTAGCATTAGCATTAGCGTCTGTAACCACAGGTGTGTGTCCTAACCATTAAGTTGTTATCAAAGTAAATCCCTGTTCAACATGAATCTGACAGCTAAGTAAGTAGATAAATAACTTTAGACTTTAACACATGCTCTGATAGGCCAGAATCAGATCGGATCGGAAGGGAAAAAAGCTGGATCGGGTCACCACGATGCTCCGTTTGGAGCTGGGTCATCAGGACTCTGCAGCTCTTCGT